GAAAAGAAAATGGAAACTACTATAGTATAATAGGGCACATATTGGGGTTATATAGAGATAATGGAAAAGAAAATGGAAACTACTATAGTATAATAGGGTATATATTGGGGTTATATAGAGATGATGGAAAAGAAAATGGAAGCTACTATCTGTATCCTCAGGCCTTTGCATAGCTGAATCCAGCCAACCTCAACCCCGTTGGAGCGTTCACCAAGGGTCTAAGAAATGCTTGAGGGATCAGGGATCAATGCAGCAGCCAGAAGTTTAGTTGGCAAGCCGAACAGAGGCTGCGATGCATGTATCGTATGTCAGACCCAAAGGAACTTGATAAAAATCAAAGCTCAACTGAATGACTTCGCGGCATGTTGACAGCACCTGAAGCCTGTGAACCAAGAGCCCAAAGCACTAAACTAAACTTCTCAACCCAAACTCTCAAACCCTAAGCCCTAAACCCTATAGCCCTTTAGACCCTAAACCCAAACTCTCAAATTCTCATCTCTGCCTGGAGAAACACATCCTCTTGTGAGGTGCTGGGAGGGAAAACGGCATCCTTGGACGGGTGCTACATGAGTAGTGTGTGTTTGTGGTTGAACCTGGTAAGATTATATTTCTTATATAAAATGCTATACCCCCAAAAGGAGGATATAATCTTACTCTATAATGGGTACCCTAGTATCCCCCAACATAATACTAGTCACATCATGATGGCCAGCGTTGTGATCTCTGTCCGCGCTTTTGAGAGGCTTAGGTAAAGAGTCCTGTTTCTTCGATGCCAGGCAGCTCAGTTATAAGGACCTTGGACCAAAGTGCAAAGCGAATTCTCACATTGTTGTATTGTTGTCTGAGATCTTCCTATGAAAGTCTGCCTGGGTAGACTTCCCAATCCTAATAATCGGTTTTAATCAGAGGAAATTGAGCAGGAAGCGTGGATCATGTGGGAGGAACGCCTCGGTGCAGCCTGAATGATAAAAAATGGAATGCCGCGCGTCCAATGACTAGACACATTGATCCACAGAGTCGTGTGCTTGAAATACCTTAGTTAAGATGCCCTACTACGAAGAGACCAGGGTTTGGTAGCCAGGGGTCTACATTCCCACCAGCAATCGCTGCCAGTCGGTCTGGGAAGGACATCAGGTGTGCAGGCCTCCGGGGTAGGGGTGATCTAGCCTCCACCAAAATGACATGGAACCCCGAACTGGGCCCTGAAAAGACCACTGAAAAAAGGTGCACATGGAGTTCTACGTTTTTTGCCATGCGCAGTCGTAAATACTGATGCCCCCGACCTAGGACATGTATGCTCCGAAGTGTTTCGAGCAGCTGTTTCTGCTTATGCAGGAGACCTATATAGGGTTTGACTTTCTTAAGGAATAACTGGCATGACCGTTTGAACATGTTTTAACCGATGACTGAAGGATTTATGTAGGTAGCTATGCAGCCGGTATTGCACTACTACACCCCACCACGGCTAAACCAAGAACATTGACTGAAGCAAAACATGGTGGACAAACTTGACAGTCTGAGGTGCGTAGGTGAACTCGCGCGCATCGACGGTGCCTCGGTGCATAATTGCAAAAACTCTGGAAAGAGCCCCAGACGCTAGGACCCCAGTGCAACATGCCCAAACCAACCGCGGAGGCGCCAGGCTATTTGCGGGGGGTATTTGCTTCTGGCCCTTCCGCGAAGCTTTCATTTGAGAAGCACTTTTTCTTGAAGTGGCATCTCGCCACCCTTGTACTGCTGCTGGCTGGAGGGGCTACAGTACGGCTCGAATAATTAGGTCTGTCTTCTAGCGTGCGCCAGACTTCCTGGCACACAGCCTCTTTGCACAACACCATCCAAGTGAGGATTTCCACAGCTTGGATTCTACTGGGTGTTTGGAACGCATTGGACAATCCAGCTCCTGCGAGATGATCATTTCATGTCTGCATCCCGGCCTCCATCCGATGGCCCTCCCAGAAGCGGGGGTGGAGCGGCACGGATGGTACCTGACCATATGTTTTTTCAGATTTGTTTGGGATGGCGAATGTTGCCCATTCAATTCAATTCGTAGGCCTTACAACCCCTCGTCAGTCTCCTGCAGTTCTTCGGCAATCGAGAACGGTGCAAGCTTAGATGGTGTCTGTATGGTGCTTCTCCTAGGAGTCTGGGTTTTGAAAGCACGTGTACAGTACACCACTCAATTAATGAGCAACATGATCGCGAAATCTTTCCCGCAGTCCGCAGCATGGTGGTGAGAGTTTATTTTGAAGACCGTGGGCAGTTTTGCTTTTACCTACAGTATCCACGCACTGTAGAAACTTAAGGGTCTTGCGGAATTGAAAGCTTAACAGCCCTTGGAACTTGCAAGACCACGCAAACCTTTCTCCGAAGTTGCTGGCATTCCAAGTTCTACTTAATCTGACAATAATGCATTTAGAGTTTAGAAGGCCATCCTTGCCCTGAGAATTCCGTAGCATGGTTCCTTCATTTTAGGGATTTCTCAAAAATCAGGGCGACTTAGGGAAGCTAGGAATGTAATTATGGTGAATATACCATATAAATATGGATCATATTTGAAAAGGCCCCCACGGTTCCTAGCGCACATATGCTCCTCGCAACCTCACGCATATATGCCACAATCGCGGTGAACATCGCAAATAGTAGGCTACTGGGCTAAGGGTTTAGGGCCTGGTTTAGGGTTTAGGGCCTAAACCCTAAGCCCTAAACCCTAGAACCCTAGAACCCATTACTTAGGAAACTGGAGCCCTAGGG